GGATAACCTTACTTTGATACTTTGATAACCTTACACGATCATTGGCGGTATTTGAGCATTGGCGGTCGGGTTAAATTCAGGTAAAGATACGCCAGAAAATGTCAGGTGCCGAAAATTCTGTAAGACCATCTTAGTGGCGATGCGACTCAGTGTTATCAAGAAACCTTAAGAAGCTTTCGAATCCCCGTTATTTGTGTGTGGTGCTTGAACATTTTGGTCATTGATCAATGATGATCATTGTCATGCTATTGTTCCCAGCTGCCATTTGGAGATGTTGGTAGCCTGAACATGCGATTCAGACTTATAGGTGCAGGTACTACATTGGGGTTAGATAACTCCGATTCTAATGAAAGAACTTAACCTGTACCGAAAATCACGCTTCCCATCAAACTGTGAAAAATTAGTTTTAGCATTTGCTCGGTGCGCCAAGTTTTCCTACTTTTTGTTGTTTTGGTTCGATGCCAAAGAGCCCAGGCGTTTGGGGGTTCAAATACACCATGTTGTGACGTGTGCCCCTCGAATGTCCCTAACACCCAAACTGCTGGGGTCTCCACGCCCCCGACTGATGCGAGCACCGCTCAGTCTGCTTGGATTTTCAAACTGCTGCTTTAATATTTTCTCATAACACTTTTTTGTTCATTGTGCAGGCCACGACATTCTCTAAGAAAATTTGGGTGGGGCACGAAGAATTTGCGCATGAATGCACGAATTCCTCATGATCGTTTTTCTCTCCCATTTATATTCACTCCCACGGATAGCTTGAGAACAATTTTAGGCATGCTGTTTTTGTTTTAACCTCCCTAGACATGAAAGAACAATGCCTGCCAATAATATATCATTTGCATGGTTTGGAACCGCCGTTTTCTTGCGTCTATGGAGGTTTTTATCTTTATAAAAACCCGCGTTCCTCTCAAAAATGGCAACCATTACCGACCTAATAGGTTAAAGTAAGGACCCAGGTCCTTGCATCAGGCCCATAATAAATTACACGCCTTTCCTCTCTCTCTCATCCTTCTCTCTTCTCTTCTCTCTCTCTCGCTCTCTTCTCTCCTCTCTCTCTCTCTCTCTCTTCTCGCTCTCTCTTCTCTCTCCCTCTCTCTCATCTCTCTCTCTCTCTCTCTCTCTCTCTCTCTCTCTCTCTCTCTCTCTCTCTCTCTCTCTCTCTCTCTCTCTCTCCTTCTCTCTCTCTCTCTCTCTCTCCTCTCTCTCTCTCTCTCTCTCTCTCTCTCTCTCTCTCTCTCTCTCTCTCTCTCTCTCTCTCTCTCTCTCTCTCTCTCTCTCTCTCTCTCTCTCTCTCTCTCTCTCTCTCTCTCTCTCTCTCTCTCTCTCTCTCTCTCTCTCTCTCTCTCTCTCTCTCCTCTCTCTCTCTCTCTCTCCTCTCTCTCTCTCTCTCTCTCTCTCTCTCTCTCTCTCTCTCTCTCTCTCTCTCTCTCTCTCTCTCTCTCTCTCTCTCTCTCTCTCTCTCTCTCTCTCTCTCTCTCTCTCTCTCCTCTCTCTCTCTCTCTCTCTCTCTCTCTCTCTCTCTCTCTCTCTCTCTCTCTCTCTCTCTCTCTCTCTCTCTCTCTCTCTCTACTCTCTCTCTCTCTCTCTCTCTCTCTCTCTCTCTCTCCATCACTCTTCCTCGCTCTCCCTCATTCGCCTTCACTCTGACTTCCGAAAAAAATGTTACTTGTTGCGCGCGGGATATAAAGCGAGAAGTGCAGGACGTTTATTCGGTGGTTGGAAGTACATACCGACACGAGTACCTGAACAAAGAGGCATCTTCAATTGGCGGTGGTTTGTTGCATGCTGCCCAGTTTGTAACCACGCGAGGAGCATGAGTTGCGGTGCGGTCTGAAAAGGACGGGATGGGAGAGAACTGCATGCCATTAAAGGGGCTGTTAAGTCACCGACGAGCCACTTGACAGATGGATTGCACAGGGCATGGTAGAACATTGGATGAGTGTGAGCTTTGGTCCACTGAACGGTGCAGCCTGGAGCCTGCGCGGCAGTGTTTTGGGATAAGTGGCGAGGATGAGCACACGCCTAGCTCATCTGTTTCGATCAGAGTTATCTGTTTGTCGTCGGTCCCTCAGATATCGACGTGCCAGTGAGGGCTGGTTATTACGGTCGGCTTTACAACCGGCTGCAAACATAAGTGCCGCTTCACAACGCCTCGCAGCACTCGCCTTACAATTAACGCCTCGGGCGAACAAGAGGAGCACGAAATGCGAAACGACGCATCACTCGTTACGTCGGCACATTTACGAGTGATATTAAGATCGCGGATTTCCGATTGCATCTCCATATGTCAACATCAAAGCTCACCATCCTCACACTTTGTTTCGAAAGAGATATGAAAAAGGCGCCGTTTACAAGCCACAGTTTTTTCTAGACTAGCAGTATAAAACCAGTTATTGGCCACTGAATTACGGCCGTGGGGGTAGTGATCACGGTCAACTATAAGCAGAATGGGCGTTATGAACATCGCGTTCTAATCAGTTCTCCGAATGGCATAATAGCGTCAGATTGCAAAGGGTTGAGGTCTGCTGTTTCCAGCAACGCTGATGCGATTGTGTCGGCCAGTTAATAACGTTAGCTCATGGTCCGTGTGGGCCCTGTCTGCCATCGGCTAGACTGAAAGCTGAGTAAAAAAAAACCTTGGAGACCGTTGGCCGGCGCCGAAGGGTGGATTTCCATCCGCACCCATGATGAGGGCAGCCCCGCTATGTCACTGTTACGCAGGATGGACGCATACCAGCGATCCACCGGTCGCTTTAAGCCTTGCTGTTTGCGTTTACACACGATCTTGGTGGATTCAGACATGAAAACCTGTGGCGCTTTGAGAGCCTTGTTTTGTCTTGAGAAGTTTAACTACTTACCGTTAGTTGTACTGGCGCGATAATGTTCTTCTAATGCCGGTTTCTGAGTTTCTTTGTTGCTGTTATCGATTTTAGCCCCCGCACTACCTCGCCGACGAGCGGCGCGAAAGTTTCTTTCTTGCCGGAAGTCCTTTTAAGCTGGGGTAGCATCCGCGGACTGTCGTAAAACCGTGCCGGAAGTGCGGGCAAGATGAACTGTCGCGCCGTAATTCGAACTGCGTCAGTAAATTGTTGGGTTGCTTCGTCGACATCGTGGCCCTGGATGCTGCAGTAACATCTTGTTTGCCAAATCTTGTTCTCCGCAACCCAAACAAGTCTTTGGTGCCATATATGTGGGTATGCTTAATAAAACTGAGAGGTGGAAAGCTACTATTTTCATCAAATGATGCGCTATTCGCGAACGCTGGTAGTACTAGAGTAAAACGCCTGTTTCGGTGTGTTGATTGGAGAGTTGAGAAGTAGTTAACATCGCCAACGCACGCTAAATATATCGTCGAAAGCAGGTGTGGGTTTAAACTCCGCAAGCAGCGCTCACGGTTGTGTAGTGCTTACCGGCAATGAAAACCACAATAGTTAACAACCGGGATACTGCTTGGTAAATACCCAAGGCTTAATATTTCATTCCAACCTTCTCCCGTGCATCTCAGCTTCCACCGTCCGCTGTATGTTTGTTAGAAGTCTTATCCGATCATTGGCGGCCCAGTTGCTGTTTGCAAGGTTGCGTTCCGCATGTGAGAAATTGAGAAAGCCTTTCCTCTAGACTGGCAATCGTTGCTTTGCTGATTACAGCTGATGTTAATGTGGATCTTGAGAAGAAACACAACCACGCATATATCATGTCATTCCGTAGCGTGATTGTCATATAGCGTTTAAAGTCTTTCTGTACATACCCCTACCAACATTTCTCTGAGAAGCATCCACCAAACGCAGCCTTTTACCCACTGGACACGGGTACCTAGCGGCTTACCCAACATGTGAGCGTCTCCAGTCGCAGGCGACAAATAGAGACAGATGCCTCACCTCGCCTGAGACACGCCAGGCGCGGTCGGCGGACCGGACAGCGAGGCGGTGGACAGCGGTGTGGTGCCGAGCCCCCGGCCGCTCCAGTCCGGATCGTTAGCCCCGGGGGAAGCGGCGGCGGCGGCGGCGGCGGCGGCGGCCGGCGGTCCTCGGCTCGTCAGGGCAGGCGCAGGCCGGTCACGTGCGGCGCTGGGCGGCCGGGCCGGACCTCGCGACGACCACCTGTCATCCGGCCGACGGACGCCGCGGCCAGCGTGACGGACAGCCGGCGGTGAGGCCGACAGCCGGCGACGCCGTGATGTGCGGATACATGGGCACGCAGACAACCACAGGTATTGACACGCATACGGACACAGACAAGGTGAACAACCCGGTAGGCTTGGCAACATCCCTTGGAAAATGCCTTCAATTCTACCTGGCGTGCCCTACAAGCCGGCTTGTGGAGCTTTCATCGTTTTCCGCTTGCTCGCCAGTGTGCAAGACGCCTGTCTCGAAAGACAGATGTGCGTAGTAGACGTAGACGCAGTGAGCGCTTGTCTTGCAATGACGTGCTTCCTCTTTCCAGGACGACCACCGCCGGGCAAACAATCAATAAACGCTAAGTGCTATCGCTAGCCGGCACCGCAGACTGCGTGCCGGCCAGGTTTAATGCTCTTACACCGTATTGTCAGCAAGTGACAAGGCCCAGCACCGAAAATAAATGGCAGTGGCTCTGCGCCGAACGAGGCTCGGAGCGTGCCATCACGGCCTTGTTTGCTCTAAACAAACGTGACGACACCAACGCTACCATACGGTTAAATTAACATGAAATCCAAAGGCTAATCAAAACCAGGGAAAACGCATTTCAAAAGTTTTCGTCCCCAGAAATAACCACAACGAACATATTGTGATGATGAGCGGCGGCACGGTTCTCCCCCAGGTATCAGAGGAGCACTGGCGGGTACCCGGCGGGATTTCAGCAGCACTGGCGGGCGTCAGAGGAGAGGGAGATAGGAGAGAGCCGCCGCCGTGCTTATTTGCCCCTGCTCATGACAGCCTCAGCCCTCGGCAAACCCCACAGCACTTCTTTCCAGCGCTTCCGTGCCCGAGCCACAGGCGCATCAGCCAGACAGACGCACGGTACGAACCGACGGATATATTCCCTCCAGATAAAACAGACGGCCGACGGACAGGCCGGGGCGGAATGTGGGCGACCAGCTGCCTGGCGCGGCTCGGTGCGCCAGATGCCGGCCTCGTGTCACGGTCCGAGGCGGTCGCCGCGCAGGGGGCAGCCGCGAGCACCGGCCCCGGCCCCAGCCCCAGCCACGGCCGGCTCACATGTGCCAACACTCCCGGTAGATGGCAGCAGCGGCGGCTACTGCGCCATCCGTGTCGTTTTCGGCTTTTTCACGCGCTTTAGAGAGTCCATGCTGGATAGCAGCAGCTTGGTGTAGGACTCCTGGAACTTGTCTACCTGCTCCCCCGACACCTGTGGAACGTAGAAACCAGCTGCTAGCGGTGGTTGCACGGGGCGGCATTACAAGCGGTTCTCGATGGGGTCAGTACTGGCTGGTACGATCACGAAAATACAGGAGGACGCATACCAAATAATTGACGGTATGCCACTAAATACATAGCGCAACGTACATTCATTATTAACACACAAATGGCGAGTGATGCTACCTGCATGATTACTATTTACATAGAACTGAGTGTAGTGTTTGGCCGTCTATATCTGGATCTCGCCCTCATGTATGCGATGGCGCATGCAGCCCATTAAGCGGAATCAGCATCCTTTCGGTGCCGCCGTGGGTGTTACACGGCAGCCCTGAAATGTCACGGACATGCCACGCCAAATCGCATCATTTACAGTCCATGACTGGGCCGGGCTGCGGGCCAGGGCGCCATACTGTCTCCCACACTCCGGGACTGCCGCAGCCCGGGCGTGACGTCACCGGGAACCCCGCGACGGCGGGCCGGGAGGAGGCGAAGGCGGAGGCGGAGGCGGAGGAGGCGGAGGGGGCGGGGAATGGTGTCCGTGAGGGCCTCCGAGCATTCGAGACACGCTCAGGGAATCCCGTGGTCGTTCGCTGACGAACGAGAAACACTCCCACAGCTCGCCTCGTTATGTTTCCCAGCAAAATGCACCGCGATGAACACGACAGCACATGAATTGGCACGACATAAGCACGTCAAAGGGAAAATGTGTCATTTTTCACAAAAATCGCTTGTCATATCAGACACGTATCCACTTTTTACAATATTAGGTAAGGAAGACAATCCCAGAATATTAAAATATTCAGTATGGCACAGCCTCGCCCCCCAAGGATTTCCCGCGCCGTCCGGGATATCATGATTATATTTTGGTCAGAACGGATCTCCGACCATGTCACTACGGTCCACAATGATCAATCCGCTAACATGTCAGGTCCAAGTGTACATCCAAAGTGATCCAAAACATTCTCTTAAAAGTATGCACGGAAAAATGTGGCCATTGACGCTCTGCATCGCACTCTTGTTTTGCGTGCACCAAATCTCGTCGTGCAGTCCTGCGGGCGTGAAGCGAATACATAACATGCGTTATCAGTGCCCATAGCCCTCAAATAGTCGATTGAAGTCGAGGCCACAATAGGTAAAATTTTGTAGCCAAGTATAAAACCGCTCCATGGGACCTACAACTTCGTCCGACAACATGAATCAAAAGGACTGACATGAATGGTGACGCACTGCTGTTTGAGGTGAAATTCGCGGCAGGAGCGATGATGTACAGTGGCTGTTTGGGGTGAACTGCGCGGCAGGAGTGATGATGTACAGTGGCTGTTTGAGGTGAAGTCCGCGGCAGGAGTGATGATGTACAGTGGTTGTTTGGGGTGAAGTTCGCGGCAGGAGTGATGATGTACAGTAGTTGTTTGAGGTGAGGTTCATGTCAGGAGTGATGATGTACAGTGGCTGTTTGAGGTGAAGTTCGCGACAAGAGTCTGTAAAGCTCCCAGGCATACGGCTAGAAGACGTTCTGCATCGCACTGGGGTTGTGGGAAGGCCTGGCATGGCCTGATGTGGACGAACAGTATCTATTGGAGGTAAGTGTGGGCACGCCTGGGCTTCAATCAGTTGTGCTTTGTGCACATATGGAAAGCGACATGCACACGGGGAAAAGAGCGATTTACCCTCGTTTGAGACCTCTGACTAGTCAATCATACCAAATATAGTAAGTGCCCTTTAGATCACGCAGCAAGACTTGAACATCGCGTAAAAGGATGCCGTCACCTTCTTTCTTTCCGATTTGGCCCAGAAGTGGGTGCGAAATCTAAAATGTGGAAAGCGCGTGAAATACGTAACTTGGCAAAACCGGTGTCAAGTAGCAACAGCTATCGCACATACTTCTACCGAAAAAGCCACCACACAACTTCAACACGACGGTCAAATTGCATGGCCAAAACTTCCACCCATAAAAACTCTACGGACAAGGCTTGTGCGCAAGATTACGACTGCGCGACAAAAATGCTACCGCACCAAATAAGACCTCACCACAAAACTACTTCGGACAAAAATTTCGCACATCATTAGTTCCAAAGACAAAAGCCTTCGGTTACAATATTTCCACGACAAAACTTCTACCGACAAAACTCCATCACCCTAGCCCGTCGCCAAACAAAACTTCTGCGCGATGTATCCCCTTCAACACACAAGTGATGCCGATAAAACACAGTATATTGTTTCGACGGACGAAACTCCCAACACCATAAATCTTCCACCAGAGACGCTTCCTCTCCATTCCTGCCACATGACAAAACTGCTATGGACAAAACATCCACGTGACAGTGCTTTTACCTGGCGTCAAACGGCCACCCGGCGGTGCCGCTGGCAGGGCTTTTACGCCGCGGCCCCGCTGCGAACGGCGGGAGGGCGGGACTCAGGCTGGCGCGGACCTCCTGCCAGGAACGGCTCTATGGTGACCTTTGGAATCGGTGAATCTAGGGCTGCAGCCATTTGTATATATATATATATATATATATATATATATATATATATATATATATATATATATATATATATATATATATATGTCCACCTACACACGAAAATTACTTTCATGTCGTAATCGAAATAAATATACGTTAATAATAATTATACTTATATCATCTCATGTAAAAGACTTAAGTTTCTATCATACTTGCACCCGGGATATGGTATTTGTTTCAGTCAACAGCGCGCGCGAAGGCTTCGTTTTAATTTCTATACAATGCTAGGATAGGTAAATCGGTAAAACAGTCCGACCGTGGACCACAATTGCAATTCTGACACACAAGTTGACAATGCTTCTCTTGCTCTTTTTCTTGTTCTCACTCCTACCCTTGATCTTGCTCTTCCTCTTTTTCTGTTTCTGTTGTTCGTTCTCTTACTGCTTGCTGCACTCACACTAGCCAGCCTAAACGAATTTCATCTTGCCTTATCTACAAATGTTTTAAGGTCCCGTGGTAACTGGTAGAGATGAGGTGAGGAGGGGGGGGGGGAGGGGGGGGGGGCTCGATATGGCGAGGCATATAATGCATTCAAAGCCCAAGTCTCATGCAACAATTTTTTTGAAAATATGGAGGATGACATATATAGTGCCATATATTTGATTGTTCAATTTCACGACTCGTGGCTAAATAAAAATGTAGCATCAACCGTACAAAGCAGAATTAATACGTGATTTCATCACGCCCCAAGAACTGAAAATGACCTCATTTCGGAAACAGCACATTATCAAAAGATCTGTATACGTGTAGAGCTAATGCGCCCGTAGAAAACATTCTCCGTGTTTAGGTACTTCTTCTCCATGCACCGGCATCGGGTACAATACTCATATCCACGAAGGGTTAGACAGACATGTTACCCATCCCCGATCCGATCCTCATCAGCGGGAATCCAGGAATCAGTAGCGGTCCCAATGAGTGAACCACGTGGCCAAGCGGATGAGATGGACTACTCGGTCGCACGGAGCCGGGTTAGAGCCCGGGAGAGCGCGGGCTGCTCGAGCCGGCCGTTGCGCGCTCATTGCCAGGCAATTCACAAAAACGGACCAGCTGCAGCAATGCCGTTATGCTATGGTGTAGAATTGTCCCTTACGAAGATCGCGCCGGAGCTTTCTTTCGCCATAACTAGGTGTTACAACCATAACCAACACAAAGGTGAGGAGGGCGAGCGTGAAGGCCTTCCGCTGACCTGACCTCACGCTGACCGGCTATTGATGCCGTCCGTCCCGGATACAAAACACGAGTCTCTGCCCATCAGGCACGAGCTGAAATCACCGAGAATTACTCTTGCAAACCATGCGTGTAATATGACCTGAGAAAAACTTAACAATGGCGTTGTTGCTGGGACAGCTCGTCAGACGCATTTTGCAGCGTCGCGGATGTGTTGCGTAAAGCTCTCGTCTATCGCAGCCGTGGCTGCTGTGGAGGGTGGGGAGTTCAAACTCCTCCAAGACTATGAAGTTTTAGCATTCCGCCGCGTATGTTAGACATTTTGGCTGGGCCCTCTCGACCCCACTTTCCGATCATAGGAGAAATAGCCAGCCCTGGTAGCAGTTATGTATTGCGTTAGAGTTATGCCTGCACAACATTTTCGTGGTGCGGTAGGTTTAGTCAGTGGAAGTTTTGTCCGCGGCAGTTTTGCCGCGCGTAAGTCTCCTCTGTGACAGTTTTGCCGTGTTGAAGATATGTCGCATAGAGATATTGCTCGTGGAAGTCTTGTTGTGAAGTTTATTTGCTTGTAGAAGCTTTGTCGCATGGGAGATTTGAAAGTATAAATTTTGTCAGCACAAGTGCTGACGTGGGAAAGTTTGGACTAGCAGTTCGGTCGTAAATGAATTATGTCTGGGTGTTGCACGTGAAAGAATCGTCGCGTAGGAGCTATGGTATGCAAAAATCATGCCAGTAGAACTAAATGCATTAAGTAATTTTGTCCGGCAAACCTTCATCCACAGCAGGAAATCTAGTGCCTCTACAAGTTTGACATTCCACAAAAAAATGAATGTCACGCAACAAGAACAAAAAAAAAACTCAAATTCCGGCGAGCTCTGCTCCGGAAGTCGGTTATCACCGGCCTGCCAACGGGCGACCCGTACTGGCGGGTGGGCTGATCTCGCGCCGTGCGACAATGTCACCGGCTTCTCTCACGGCTTCTGCTTCTTTTATCCCCCCGAAAATTCCTTGGCGTCATAAAGCAGCGCCACTCCCCCCCCCCCCAGAAAATTCCTTGGCGTCATAAAGCGGCGCCACTCCCTCCCCCCCCCCCCCCCCCCGGAAATTCCTTGGCGTCATAAAGCAGCGCCTTAACATACCACTAAATATAAACCAGAATTGCACCTTGGTGTACTAAGACTATTGTGTTTACCATCGCCTGAGAAAAAAATAACTGAGTTCATCAGGCATCCCTCCGCAAAACCCACCCGGGGTTGCGAGTGGTTGGACTCCCCATGACATTCGGGAATGTGAATAACTAAGGTGGCTGCGAAGATTCATAACGTATCGAAGCTCAATCTTTAATGGATCCTGACTTGTGCATATAAGGTTTCCAAGATGATGCTTACAGTCGGGAAACCTGCGACAACACCGAACAACCATGAACACAAGACTATGGTGAGCTTGAGGGGTGACACCAATCCCGGATCGTTACGCAACATCATCAAGGAAATTGACAATGACTTCTTATAAACCTATGTATGTAACGTTTTTGTCACCACAAGCCCATTGGTTATTCCGGTATCATTATACTCGTTTATGAAATATGAAAGCCTCTTGAGCGCCGAAAGCAGCCAGATGAAGATGATGATTAGAGTTTCAGGGCGCCGACTGCAATGGTCATTTTGCACCCACCCGAAAGCAGCCGTAGCCACGAATCGACAGTCGCAAGCGCCAAGCAGCTGGCCACATGCCCCAGAAAATCAATTAAAAACAGATAATTTCGGAGCGGTTTCGTTGGATAGGCCGCGCTGAACATAAGACTGCGATAAGCACGCGGGTCAAGGTGGGCTTTCTTTTACTGGCCTGGTTACATAACAATTAATGCGCCTCGTCCTTTCATTCCAACCGAAACCCCGATTGAAAGATTACAACACCACTGCACGTGATTTGTACCAGCAAACAAAACAACATATCTTATGTAACTAGCTTTCGCCGAGAAATGTCTCCCAGATTCGACCCGAACTGCCTGGTACCGCACTGAAGCTTTTCGGTTTTGGACGCTCTGTTCGGCGCAGAGTGAAGTTGTTCAGAGGTCCAACTTCAAACCCAACTAGCACAAACAGACCCGCGGAATGGATAGCAAGGACACAATGTCGTGGGTTGTCTAATCAAACGTAAGTGCCCTAGTAAATGCCCTCTACTTCCAACTATGAAGGTTGCCAAAACACTCGGGCTTCCGTACCGGCAAGCCCAAGTTACCACTTGGTGCGCCGATCCGAAAATCCTTCATCGGGGTTGCTATGTGGGTTTCGTAAGGAACAACATTACTTGAAAAATAACGCACTCAAAAATGCCAGTGGCGCGAGTCTTGGCGTCTATCCAGTACGAGTGTTGCTTTCGGCTGTCACTGTGTTCCAGTGCAATGTCCGATCCGATGCACTGACGCAGGCGCATGAAAGACGGTGTATAATGGTTGCCCCGGTTACTATCTGACAAACCAGTCGCTCGCCACATAACGTCATGAGCTAGCAATGGCCTCAATGGTCCCACAATCCTGAAACCTCGTCAAACAACAAAACAATCGTAAAGCGATCGACGGAGGTACTAATGCTGCTCATAACGGCTTCAAGGCACAAATGGATATACAATGGCGATAACGTACACTGTATGTCAACCACACTTCGGATGTGAATGGTGTCTATAACATCACGAATGCGCGCATAACGTGGCCGTTGGCGGCCGGCGCTTTGGAGCTGCCCCCTCTCCGGCTGTCTATATCGTCAAGGGCGTTACCATATCGTGCGGCCTCGTGCTGGAACCACTCGCCGCCGGCCGATATAACCTCCCGGAGCCGTGCTGCGCTCATACATCAACTTGACCAACGTGGAAAAGAGGGTATTGTTCGACTTTGTGGGCCCTTCTTGTGCTCTTGACATGTTTTCATCACCGCCGCATCTTCGTTTTTATCGTGTAACTTGTAACCCATGGACTCGAATAAAACATTAGGTCATACTTATGGAACGATTCGCAATAACTACATGACATAATAACGAATACACCTATATACGCCTTTAGAAGTTGTGTTACAAGTCGGCTACTCCATAATATACTTGCGCAAATACTTGCATCCAAACAAGTTGGAGAGAGCGGCGTAACCCAGCCATGGGACTGTCACCAGCGTTCTAGGCACGTCAGTCGTCCACCGCGGACGCCGCAGCCTCTTCTGAGGAGCAGCCAATGCTATCATGTCCGACCTAGGCACCGTCCGTGAAAAGGAGGACGCGAAAGCCGGGCCGTCATTTGCGTTCGTTACGATTTTCCCAAGCAACGCTTATTGCAATTAACCAGAAATGTATGCATATGCATATGCAGTGTACGAATGTGGTGTGATGTATGCCGCATTCTGCCCGAGGCCTCCGTTTAAGGCTTGCGTAGTTTTAAGGGTGCTGTTTGACAAGCCAAACGAAAGGTCACTGCCGTTTGACAAGCCTAACGAAAGGTCACTGGTGTCGCCCTGAATGGCCGTGAGCTCACAGCTCGTGCCAGATACCAAATAACGGACAGGACGACCGCGTGAGTAACATGTGTCAGGAAACATCTGCGCAAACAAACACGACGGAACTTGCTCGAAAGCGACCACAAAAACACGTGCATTGCCGTCCCTTTGGCTAGCCCACCAGGTACGAGCACGAGGAGGCCCGCAGCACAGGCGGCCAAACGCACGAGGCTATCTCCTCGACAGCCTGCGCCAGGTCATCGCCCCGCTCGGCGGCCGCGCCCGGCACCGGCCTCGCCCGCAGCATCACACCCGTCCGAACTGGCCGGCCAGCAGTCACCGTCCGTCACGGCTCACGTGACGTCCACGGAAGCGGCGGGCGACGCCCACTCGCCATTACGCCCCCCCCCCCCCCCCCGCGTCTAACGGCACCGCAGTGGCTCCGGTCGGCGGCGGCGACAGCTCGCGTATTGATTAACGCATTTACAACCGCGAGCTCACACCCCGGTGGTATTAGCGGACGTAAAACGACGCAGGAAGTGTCGGCCGTGTAGACACCATTACGCGTGACCTTTCACGCCGCAGCGCATGCTTCAAATTCCCGCACAGAGGCGCTGACACTAATCGAGACGGGGACGATCTGGGGGAGGGGTGACAGTGCTGCCTTCCTAGGGGTTGAGGGGGAGGGGTGGGACGGGAGTGGGGGGTCGACAAGTCACTGGGTTTCAGACGGATCCACGAAGAAATGTGTGAACAGAAGACTCAACAAGCGACTTGTTCATGGAATCATAGTTCTGCCAACGCACTGACGTCACGCAAAGTACTGTGCATCATTGCCAACGCACAGCGCTCCTACATCCATACACTTAAGATACATGGCGCATCATCATAGAAGGTAGCACATGATAACCAACGGTCTCTACATGTTATATATATATATATATATATATATATATATATATATATATATATATATACGGTTATTTTATTAGCGGCGGACCAGATGGGTCCCACCATTCTTGACTCAGCATACAGCCAGTAAAGTCCACTCAAAGCCTGCAGTGGCGGGACCGTGCAGCGATACCAGAAGGAAATGCCGCTCCGCCGACCGGCCCGAAAATTATCTGATGGACCGGGGCTGCATGGCACGGGTTTGGTTGAAAAAAACTTTGGCAACAAAATGACCTAAGCAAACCATTCTTTACGACATTTGAATTAATCGACGATATTAATTTGACGATCTAAATTCATAAATGGAGTGCACCTCAACGTCGATGTTCGAATGAAAATTAATTGCCCATGAACCGCATTGTCATTAGTGCCGTAACATCTGCGGAAATGCGTGCCGTGTGTTCATTAAACATTGAACAGAAGCAAACACAATTTCTCTAGTTTCATTCAACCCCTATTTCCAGCCTGCCAGAAGGTTTGCCAGAGGTTTTTATTTCCCCCATCTCAAAGCCACTGCCTGGCGGCATGCTGTGGACGGGGCTTGACGCTACACACGTGAGACGATGTCAAAAGAGACTTAAACACGCTGGGCCTGACAAATTAAATCACTTCATCCGGTGACGAGGGCTGGCGACCGCTAGACACTTACACAAACAACCAAGTTTCCGTGGGCTGGGGAATTCAGGCCGAAACGGAACGAGGAAAAGCTGCCGTATTAAGCTGCCTCGCCCCGCCTCGGCACGGGGAGCATCATTTCATCCTTAAGGAAGTCCGTCCCAGCCAGGCCAGTTGCCAGGCGAGAGGATGGTGGGGAGTGGCAATTCCTTTTCATTATGCGCGGCCAGTCTAAATTCTAGCCGTAGCGACGCCCAGGACCGCGACCGGTGCAAAGCCAACGCCACCTGGCGATACGGCCGCAGCGCCATCCCACGGCCAAAAGTGAGACTCACCACGGTGCTGATCTTCTTTTGCCGGAGTCGGGCGCGCACGAGGCAGAGGTACTGCTCGGGCCGGGGAAGCGGGTTACGCTCGGCGTTCTTGGAGCCGGGCCGCGGCTCGGGACGGTTACGGCCGTCATCTGCCGGCGGTGGGGGAACCCTCAGTTGGTGGAGTGATCAGATGATATTAGTGGCGCAGGTATCGTCAGCTCTCCATGGTCGTCAACGTAGTGATCACATGCGTCGGCGATCGCCAAAGACCACTAAAACAATTGGAGAGTGAGCCACCCGAAGCCGTTCCAAAGCACTTAATTTAGATATAACACGCCACTGTAACTAGCAACCTTTCCACGTTGTAATATTTTAAGTTTGTTATCACTTAACAAAACGTCGCTATCTGCCGACGTTGTCCAAATCTTTCCAACTGTCGTAGCGTTCTAACGCTGATGTAAGTTTAAGCACTGGTGCAGCCCGCATGCTCCTACTAGATGCGCGATCCATGTGCATCACTCATCCCCCGGATATATGAACTGCCCGTATCCTGTATCGGCCCAAATATTACGCGGTGGCACGCCCGAACGCGAGGCGTTTCGTCGCGGGTGCGTTTTGACGAGGGCGGTTGTGTTTGGCTGCTGGTAAAACCAGGCTGACATAAGAACCCTCTGACAATTAACAAAAACGACACAGCGTTCTTCGGACACGTCCTGCGATCGCTGCTGTCTGACGAACAGTGCCCGAAGGACAAACACAAGGCACATCAGCACGAGCGGGGCTGCAAACACGGCAACGACCATAGCTATCAGCCCAAACACGGCATCTCAGCGCCGGCTTCGCGCACCATCGCTTCATCCATCACGTCGCCAGCCAGCGAGGCACCAGTGAAGCAGACGCTTCATAGAGCCATTCCAGACTATGCATGGGACGCTGAAAACCATCGCTCCTCCCCCTCCACCTAGCACTCCACCGTTGCTGTTGGCCTGCTCAGACCTGACCCAGCAGAGGGTCACAGGAGGGAGCCGGTGCTGTCAGTGACGTCACGAGTGCAGACCGCACGGACAAGGCTGTACAAGCATACATAGCGATCAGAATGGGGGAACGCGCATTTAGTTGCGTAATACTGCAGCGAACAAAACTGGAAGATTCCGTTCTCGGCAATGTCCCAGTCAACTGTCGGACAGCCGTAAGGTAAGGCCTTACCAGATGACTTAACTGTACACAAAACGCCACTTAAATGAGCAGAGGGCGGTAAAAGTGGGGAGGGAGGAGGAGAGGATGGCTGTTTCCTACATCTGAAAACAAACGTGAACCCTATGCCGTATTATGGCAAAACCGATGGGTGATAATGCGTCCTCGGTCTTTTCCTAAATCCGCTCAGGCGGCTGACTCCAGCTGCGGTCGGGAGTACATACCGCGCACAGAAGGGCCACCCCTGTTACAGCAGACCCTCCTGCGTTCAGCAGCGGCACTCACATCGCTTCATGGTGACGGTGACGGCGCCCTTGCTGCGGCCCTCGTAGAACATCAGAGCCAGTGACGTCAGGAACTGCCGAGCAGCGGAGGTGACGTCAGCCATCAGCGTCAGATGACGTCAGGGACGGAAGCATGGGCATGTGCAAGGGCGGTAGATAAGCACACAGTGTCCGAGATGGTAGCTGAGGACAGTCATCAAGCAGAGATCCACATAGTAAGTAAACACCTAAAAACATCAGCCACTTATTAAGTGTGTTTGACCTGTCGCCCCTTATCCCCCACCTAGCCAGTTTGACACAGTCCTCCAAGTTCACCGATTTCATTAGCTTGCACTGTCTTGGCGCTTCGTCAATGTAAGCATGAAGCGTGTGTGCCGGAAAACCGTCTGTCGGTGAGCTGGACGGCCGTCAGTCGGAGCGTTATGGCAACGGAGATCGTGCCCGCTGCCGTTGCCAACACCACTACCATATAGCGTCAGTAGCGGAGCTGTCATCGCTCCCGACTCGTCAGTCACAGAGCTGTCACCACTCCTGGCTCGTCAGCCACACAGCTGTCACCACTCCTGACTAGTCAGCCTCACACCTGCCACTGCTCCTGGCTGGTCAGCCCACAGCTGTCATTGCTCCTGGCTCGCCAGCCTCACAGCTCTCAACATTCCTGGCTCGTCAGCTACTGGCAGCAAGGTAATTCTGAAGACGAATTGCTTATCCCAAACACAAAAAGTGGGTTATGTCCAGAAAACACCTAAGCTGCCTGATGAATGTATGCTTTGCAACAACAAACTCCGGCTTCCATGAAGGGCATTATGGCCATCACCACCATTTCTTTCAGACAGCTTTCAGGTAGTGCCATAGGTAGAAAAAGGTCTCAAACATTATGGCTACATCAATGTAAGAAAATTCAGACCAAACATCTTTTGTGTGATACTCAGAGCCAGTGTTTTTGATCACTGTGTGAAAGTCTCAGAAGATATTCATCGATTTATGTGTTATTCCTGATAATGAGTAGATATAGAGAGAGAACCACAAGCAACCAGCAATGGCCATAGGGAGTTTGAGCCTCCCCCACAGTATGTTTTTTGATACAAGAATAGCCTTTACCAAACATGACCATGTACATGCAGTGCATGATCTGTGAAAATACATCATTTTACTTTGTTCTGCACCTGGGTCCAAGGCATCACTTGTTTGCACCATTTAGTTTTTAGCATGTCAGACCAGAGACTCAAGGGTGCATGGACTGCTTGGTCATACCACTATGTTGTGTTTGGAGATCCCAACATTACAAAGACAATGTTCCATTACAATACATTTTGCTGCCTCCATGGTCTAAGGGAAAGATACTGGACTCATTGTCCAGAGGCAATGGGTATGGTTCCCAGAACAAACATGCTTTGGGGCCTTGCTGACATGGAAAGATCAGTTGGCAACAGACTGAAGAGGGCTAACCTGCTACAGGGCAGCTATGACATAGCTTTCTACAAACATAGTGTGTTGCAGTCCTACCCAGTAAAAGGACTGGAGGCCAAATAATCTCATGAACTGGATGAGCCCATCTTGTGGGTTCATGGTATGCAGGACAAGTTCACTTTACCAAGCTGTCTAAATCCAAAGCTACCCATTTTAAGAAATGCCCCATTGACAGATGATTGATAATTAAAGAATAGAGCATGCCAAGCCATTTGCATGCCTTGGCATGGATTATACTTCACTTCCTCTGTTCTGCAAGCTTTGATAGGCAATATTAACTGAGCAAATGATTATGTGCAACTCAAAAACTGCTTATAGGATGAATGCTTGGTAAACAAATGGGTGCTAAAGGGAAGGCAGAGTTATGAACACCACATACATATACAGAGAGATGCTATGGTTTACAGTACCTGACAGAAAAAAAGTTCAGCATGCAATGCTCAAATTCTATCAGTTTGGTACCTATGCATGCATTGGCATGAAATGATATTATACCTGCAGCTACATCAGATTTCAATGCAAAAGGCATGGGTAATTGCGAAGTTGTACTGGCAATGTTTTTTAGTCCTGATCACCACTACCCCAAACACAAACTATCTCGCTACTGGTAATGCAAAGCTAGTAGGTGAACATTCACTTGAGCATTTACTATGACTCCACCTTCACATTCAGATGGCACCATGCAGGGAATGCAGGGGACTTTTTATTATTGCACCATATGTTGGCAAATATTGGGAAAATCTAAAGTAATGAAAAACTAATTGTCTAAAACACTCATAACTTCTTGGGGAAAATATCACACTAACCTGCTCATTATCCAGCAGCATCTGGTGATATTTGGTGTATACTCTTCAAGTTCTATGTGGCTAAATAGCTCCTGTAAGAAAAAGAACCAGGAAATGTGGTAAGAACATTTGATAAAATTATCAACATACAAGGTGAAGTAGACAGAGAAATATGCACACAACCAATGGTATACAAATTATTCATGTCCAACCTTTGCAATAAATGCTAGAAAAAAACTCCTTAAATATGTTGTGCACAACTTAAAATAATGCACAGAACTCAACAATGACATCATAAGAACACTATTTTATTAATCACTGATACCCTGACAATTTGTTTAAAATTTCAACACATTGCTCCAAAAAGTAAAGCAAGTTGCAAACATGTGTCTCAATATGTCACATAGGGGTTTCCTTTGGCATGGCATTGCCTATGACAAAATAATATGGCAAGATATTGCCTCAACAGTGGTACAGGCAGGCATGTTCCACCTGACAGTGATCCTGTTGTGATAAGATTTTACTCATACTGCAGACTGTGATTGAATATCAAAATGTAGAACAGGCATGACGGTCAGTCCCGAACATATACTTAAGTGAAGAAGCCCTCTTAAAGAAAAGAGATGAATACCTTGCAGAGGAGTGATCGCATTTTTTAGAAACCTCACGGTAAATACTAAACGTCGCTTTTGAACTCCAGTAAGATTATTTTATCACGAATAGATGATGAAGCCTGGCATGATCGGTACCCAAATAGCAACGAATTATTGCATGGCAAGCGGTTCAGCTAATCCTTCTTACCCTTGCAGCACCAAGGGCCGAAAAGAAGTGATCGGATAATCGTCAATAACTTCCCTGATCTTGCTCTCGGGAATGCAGCTCGGACCACACACCAACAACCTCAAAAACGTCCCAAACTACGCCAGCTTGATCTGCGACGCCGTCACCGGAGCAATCGCCAGCTGCAGTACATTGTCTCTACAGCGCCATCATTGATTTAATGATGGACCAGTATTCTTCTTATTTTACTTTAAGTAAATAAGCTGGCGATCATCACTTACCGAAGGTATCCTTACAATCAGTTTACTCTGATGCCATTTTTTGGATGGAATTTTAATTATTTTAAGATTTCTAATTTTTACACATTTTTTATGTCAAATGTGTTAAGCCGTAGCCACATTTTGGTACTTGTAATAATAAGCTGCATGAGGTAGACCAGCACTTTAAATAGTGCATATGCAACGCACCTTTGACAAGTGTATGCGCTGTATAAAAAATGTCGAGGTGGCGTGGTGCCTGCGTTGGACGTCGCGTGGGATGTACGATTTGAGAGGGTTTGGCGAGTGATGGGGAACGCTAGTGGTTACTTATAGAATGTTCTTTGCAAACGCAGGTCTATGAGTTTTGCCAGACTTTTGCGGTGGCTTTGATCGACGTTCGTGTGAGAAGGTGAGTTAACCGCGTATTTTTCTTTAAGGTGTTTTTCGGTCTGGAAAAGAATATTGTACATATAGTAAGTATCATATGCGGCACAGATCATTTTATTTTGATGGGTTGCATAGGTAACTTGGTTTGTAGTTGTGCACCAAAATTTATTTTAGATGATAACTGTGGTGTATGCACCATTTTACTTTTGATTTGAAGGATAAACTATGTCTCTATTTTGTATTGCCCATCTTTTATATATTGACACTGCAGCACTGTCGTGCCTTATAACCACACAAAGGCATTCTGGTGGCACTGAAGGCGTTCCATCTCCCAGGCTGCCAATATACTTTACATAGGTATGCAGGGATGCATGACTATGGTAGCACTGCATATTTCATGCTACCAAATACCAAGTGCCTTTTAGAGCTGACAGCCAATGTTATTTTCTTCTTGGCACATTCCAAGGTTTGCTGATGGCTTTTCATAATTTCATGAGAAACATCATCATGAACCATTATTGTTGGCATTGTCATTCTGACCTTTCTTAACCTAAAACAAATGAAACATGTTATATACCCTATATGTACCATACATTGACCATATCCTCTTTTGGCAGTCACAACAAGAGTGTGTAAGGTATCATGGTGTTCAACATAGCCTGAAAAGTTGGGCTTGACTAATTTAATTGCTTTGTGTTATGTTTACCAATGCATAGCTTATATGATTAAGTGAGTTTGGTTCAGCACCCAGAAAATGCACATTTATTCATATTTTCAAGGTTCATTATGAAGAAGCCCAAAGCATAACTTGGGATCCAAGAGCATAATTGTGTTCTTGGCACCATTTCCCAGCCATGACCAGATAGTATACAGCAAACCAATTTTGTTTTTTCATCTCAAATTATACTCCCAGCTTGAATGCCACTTATGCTGTTATTTATGCATTTGTGCTCTCTGTACCATGCTTGTGGCTGTATGATAGGTTTGTATGGATGCAGGAACTGGCAATTTGGCACATTGAACCCTAGCACTTGGGAAAAGATGATATGGGACTTATGGCAGTGCTTGAAATGCAGTCAATTTCAATCCTCCTGAGCCTCTGATTGCTGGAGAACCTCCTTCATCTGTGTCTGTTTGTGCACATCCAGTCATGTCTTGTCTGCCTTGTCTTTGTGGAGTTGGTCGTCACTGGCAGAAGGCACCGCGGACCAATCTTCTCTGGTCGGCAGGCGGCTCTGCAAGAACACCAGCCATGCCAGAAGTTGACACAGCACTTCCTGCAACCCTGCGCTCAGACATGACCTCGCCATCAGTGCCCTGAAGTGCAGCACGATCTGCCCTGACCAGCAAGATGAGCACCAAGTCATTCTTCATTGTGCAGGAGGCGCCAGCCAATGCGCTCTCGCTCAACAAGGACTACAGCCAGGTGGTGATTGCTGGCCGTAACGTGTTCAAGGTGCTGCTGATTGAGGAGCAGCGCTTCGTCGAGCGGCTGAACCTGCGCATCGGGAAGAGTCTCAACCTGAGTTTCTCCTCCAATGACGTGGTGTGGAACCCGTTCGACGAGACGCAGCTGGCAACGGCGGCTACCAACGGCCAGGTGGTGCTCTGGGACCTGAACAAGGCCAGCCGCAACAAGCAGGACCACGTGTTCTCCGAGCACAAGCGCACCTGCAACAAGGTCACGTTTCACCCGAGCGAGCCGCACGTGCTCGTCTCGGGCTCGCAGGACGGCACGATGAAGCTGTTCGACGTGCGCAAGAAGGAGGCGGCCATCACGTTCCAGGGCAACACGGAGAGCGTGCGCGACCTGCAGTTCAACGGCAGCCAGCCGAACACGCTGTGCGCCGTCTCGGAGAGCGGCCAGGTGCAGCTGTGGGACAAGGCGCGGCCGGACCGCTGCGTGCGCCAGCTGACGGCGCACAACGGGCCGGCGTACGCGTGCGACTGGCACCCGGAGCACGCCGCCTGGCTGGCCACGGCCGGCCGCGACAAGGCCATCAAGGTGTGGGACACGCTGAACAGCGCCATCCGGCTGGTGTGCACCATCCCGACGATGGCGTCCGTGGGCCGCGTGGTGTGGCGGCCGCAGCGCGAGCACCACATCGCCAGCGCCGCGCTGCTCGTCGACTGCAGCATCAACATCTGGGACAGGCAGCGGCCGTTCATTCCGTTCGCGTCATTCGGCGAGCACACGGACGTGACGACGGGCATCGCGTGGAAAGGCGACCCGCGCGTCTTCCTCTCCACCAGCAAGGACGGCACGCTCTACCTGCACCGGTTCGAGGACGCCGACCGGCCGGCCGACCGCGCCAACCCGCACGGCCTGAGCCTGGCCGCCGACGGCCGGCTCGGCCTGGCCGTGCGGCTGACGCACGAGACCGGCGGCCGCCCGCCGCGGCGCCCGCTCACCAGCCGCGACCGCTTCCGGCTGCGGCGCTCGCTGCTCAGCACCGTCAGCGGCCCGGTGGAGCCGTCGCCGGCCGGCGACTGGCTGCAGCAGAGCGCGCGACGCTACCTGCTGCACGGCCGCAGCCTGGCCGACATGTGCGAGCACAACGCCGGCGTGGCGGCCGACCTGCGCCGCTACCACGTGGCGCGCACGTGGCGCGCCATCAAGCTGCTGTACACGTCGGCGCGCGAGCCGCTGCAGCCGCGCGCCGGCGCCGCCGCCGGCTGGGAGGAGAAGGCGGGCGCCGGCGACGGCGGCACCAGCGACCCCGAAACCAAGGCGCCGCGCAACGTGTCCGGCGGCGAGCCCAAGGCCGACGACGCGGAGACGGACGGCGACGAGGGCGAGCCGGAGCAGAACCTGGCCAACATCGCGTCCGGCCTGGCCAACGCGCAAGGCGACTTCTTCTTCGGCGACGGCGAGGTCAACGAGATGTGCCTCGACTACGAGGAGGGCCTGGACGTGGCGCCCGACTTCTCGCTGCCGACCGAGGCGTTCGAGCTGCGCCACGAGCTGCAGGACGGCTCGCCGCCGCCCGAGAGCATCCAGCTGGGCGCCGAGCCGCCGATCGAGGCGGCTCGCCAGCCGGCCAACCCGGCGCTCGTCGAGCAGATCAACAGCTCGCTGATGGCCATGCCGGCAGCTAGCGTCGGCGACTGGCCGGCCGGCCGCGTCGTGGCCGACATGTTGCGCCATTACGCCGCCGACGGCGACGTGCAGACGGCCGTGTCGGTGATGGTGGTGCTGGGCGACAGGTTGCGGCCGCACCTGTCGCCGGCCGTCGCCGAGCCCTGGTTCCTCGCCTACCTCGAGCTACTGGCGCGCTTCCAGCTGTGGAACGTGGCCACGCAGGTGGTGCGCCTGGCGCCACTGCCAGCCGTCGGCTGCCTCAACCAGATGGTGGTGAAGCTGCACTGCGGCCGGTGCGCCTCGCCGCTGGAGCGCACCGGCTGGTGGTGCCACCGGTGCCGCGCGCCCTCCACCTGCGCCGTCTGCCACCGCGTGGTACGCGGCCTGCAGGCCTGGTGCCAGGGCTGCGCGCACGGCGGCCACCTCTGCCACATGCGCCAGTGGTTCTCCGGACACCGGATGTGCCCGTCCGGCTGCGGGCACGTGTGCGTGCCGGTGTCGTGAGGCGGCAGACTCGGCGGCGCGCCCCGCGCCCCGCGGCACTCCGCGCCGGGCGAGGGACGGCGCCCACGGCAGCGATGACGGCGACTGGCGGGCCGCGGCCGGCGCGGGAAAGTGTGTGGGATGCGGCGCTCGGTGACTGCTCTGTAGCCTGCGGTGTTTGTGACTGTGGTGGACGAACTGGATCTGCTCTGCCGTCGTGCTCCGTTGCCCGCCGTGTACCGCCGTACCTGTACTGTCTTGTACCGCTGAACCGCTGTGTACGTGCTCCTCTGCCGGGCCGCGGTGTCTCTCGCAGACCGCACTGTCCGTGTCCGCCCGCCTTCGCAGGTGCGCCCGTGGTGCTGTCCGCAGCGCTCGCCTAGCCGCAATGAGCTCCGAGGGCGTACCTCTGCGGCGCGTACTGCTGCAGCCGACGGCCGGCTCTGACTTGGCGGCAGTCGTGGCCGGCTGGCACGGTCTGGATCGGCCGCTGCTGCTGCGCGCGGGCCGCTGCCTGCCGTCGGCCGGCGGTCCGGTCCGGGTGCTCAGCTGCCACCCGACGCCGTGCGGTCTGCTGCACCCCGATACGCGCGTGCTGGCCGCCCCTTCGGCGCCGGAGGGGGAGGCGGCCGGCGCCGGCCGCCTGGCCGCGTTGGCCCGGCTCGCCGCTTACGTGGCACGGCTGCTGCTGCCGGCGGCGCCGGCGCCGCTGCTGCTCGCCTTCGTCTGCGCGTGGTCGGCGCGACGCTGGCTGACTGCGCCGCGCCGCCTCTATGCCGTGAGCGCGACCGAGCTGCAGCGCCGCGTCCACGACGCCGGCGGCTGGGACACGCAGGCGACGGCCGTCGTCAGCGGCCGCCTTCTACGGCTGCTGGGCGCAGCCAGCGGCGAGTGGCGCCGCTGCCAGCTGCGCGCCGCCGCCGACTGCCGGCAGCTGCACCTGCAGCTGGTGGCGGGCGACGTGCCGGCCGACGCGGCGCTCGTCTCCTGCGCGCTCTGGTGGAGCCTGCGCCTGCCCGGCGACGGCGAGTGCACGCTGCACGTGGCCGGGGCCTCCGCGCCGCCGGCGGCTCGGTCGGCGCGGCTGGCGCAGCTGGCGGGGCCGGACCAGCTCTCGCTCGAGGCGTGCCAAGCCGAGCTGGCCGCGCACCTCGCCTGCCCCCGTCTCCTGCTGCCCGGTCACGTGATCGTGACGTCATCGGAGGACCCGCAGAGCGGCCGGCGGCGACACGCCTTCTTCCGCGTCGAGAGCGTGGAGCCCGCGCGGCCCGACTGCGACGTCTCGGCCGGCCTGCTGGCCAGCACCGCCGCTGACGTCACTGTACCAGGTGTCTGACGTCACGGCGGCGGTGCCACCGCTGGCGCCGGTCACCGACAGCCCCTGGGAGCCGGGCCTGCTGCCAGGTGAGCGCCAGGGGCAGGTAGGGCGCCGACTGGGCTGGGTTTGGGTTTTGTATTGGGTTGTCCGTCGCTGCAGTGTTGGGGACAACGTTCGGAGAAAGGCAGCCTCGACGGGGCTTTGTGACTCATTGGTGTCCGCAATAAGCCAGATATATTCGTGGGGGCATTTGGAATAGATTTGCTCTGGTCACCTGTGTTCAATGCGACATGTAATTCTGGGACAATGCGACGATGTATTCTTCATATGACCCGTGAAGAATGACTGGGACTTATGAGCGTATACTGGTGTTACGGTGTTATGAGGATTGTGGGGTATGTATTGCGTATGGTTTTTGCAATCCAATGCACTGAGCTTATCGAATAAATTCATAACAGGCTAAGAATGTTTGCCACGGGACTGTCCGTGTAACCTCACGTGAATGTTTCAAGAAGTGTAGAAACGATGGGAACCAAGTCTTGAAAACTGGCGTTCGAAGCTAAGGCATCGACGATGGTTATTTGACGGTTGTTGTACTGTCGTATGCCGCAAGCAGAGCGGCAGTGGCTGGTTGCGTTTATAGAGGACTGACTAACAGTTACTGCTCCGCCAGCCCTCGTCTGAACGCACTCGGGCGGACTTGTGACTGTGCCGGGTAGGGAGCGGTGTGGGGAGCGCTCGGGCGGACTTGTGACTGTGCTGGGTAGGGAGCGGTGTGGGGAGCGCTCGGGCGGACTTGTGACTGTGCTGGGCAGGGAGCGGTGTGGGGAGCGCCCGGGCGGAATTGTGACTGTGCTGGGTAGGGAGCGGTGTGGGGAGCGCTCGGGCGGACTTGTGACTGTGCTGGGTAGGGAGCGGTGTGGGGAGCGCTCGGGCGGACTTGTGACTGTGCCGGGTAGGGAGCGGTGTGGGGAGCGCTCGGGCGGACTTGTGACTGTGCTGGGTAGGGGAGCGGTGTGGGGAGCGCTCGGGCGGACTTGTGACTGTGCTGGTAGGGAGCGGTGTGGGGAGCGCTCGGGCGGACTTGTGACTGTGCTGGGTAGGGAGCGGTGTGGGGAGCGCTCGGGCGGACTTGTGACTGTGCTGGGTAGGGAGCGGTGTGGGGAGCGCTCGGGCGGACTTGTGACTGCTGGGTAGGGAGCGGTGTGGGGAGCGCTCGGGCGGACTTGTGACTGTGCTGGGTAAAGAGCGGCGTGGGGAGCGCTCGGGCGGACTTGTGACTGTGCTGGGTAGGGAGCGGTGTGGGGAGCGCTCGGGCGGACTTGTGACTGTGCTGGGTAGGGAGCGGTGTGGGGAGCGCTGGGGCGGACTTCTGACTGTGCCGGGTAGGGAGCTGTGTGCGGAGCGCTCGGGCGGACCTCTGACCATGCCGGGTAGGGAGCGGTGTGTTGGGGTGCCCGACGCTGGTCTGCAGCGGTCTGCAGTGGCCGACACTGGGCGGCAGTGACCTCTGGCGGGCCCGCCGTGCCGCAGCCGGCCTGGAGCCGCAGCTGGAGCAGCTCTGCGTCCTGTTGTCGGGCCCGGCTGCCGGCCGGCCGCTGGTCGCCGTCTGCGGCGCCGCCGGCTCGGGCCGCGACGCGCTGGTGGCCGCTACCGCCGCCCGCCTGGCGCGTCACCTGCTGGTACTGGACGCCGGCCAGCTGCTGGCCGACACCAGCGGCGCCACGGCCGGCCGGCTGCAGCAGCAGCTGCTGCGCGGCCGCCGCTGGCGCTGCCTGCTGCAGGTGCGGCGCGCTCATCTGCTGGGCCGTGACCGCGAGACGGGCGGCGCGGACGGGCGCGCCGTGGCCGCGCTGCTGGAGGCGGCCGGCGCCCTGCCGGCCGGCGCGGCGCTTCTCCTCTCGGCGCCCGCCGTCGACGGCCTGCTGCCGGAGCTGCGCGCGCATGTGACGCACGAGCTGGAGCTGGCGGCGCCGGACGCTGCAGGCCGGGCGGCGCTGCTCGGCTGGCTGGCGCGCCGCCACGCCGTCGACCTGGCCTGGCTGAGGCCCGCGCGGCTGGCGCTGCACACGGCCGGCTACCTGATGGGGGACCTGGAGGCGGTCATCACGCAGGCCAAGGGGTACGTCGGGACGCCGCTTGGGCTAGGGATGGCCGGGTTAGGCTGCGAGCCGCACATTCTCTGCTGTTGGCGTCATTTAGCCGCAGGAATTGGAAATGTGCTGTCTCGCATATTGTGTTCCAGAAATGTACAGGAACCAACTGCAGATGTTGCGATGATGGCCACTCTGGCATACGCGTTTGTTGGAGCTGGACACGAGTATCTGCCGGGGGCTCAGCGTGGGGCTTAAACGCTTTGTCGTCTCGTCGGCTCCTCGCACTGTCCGAGGGCGTGGCACCAAAGCACCAAACAGCAGAGCATCGCCTGTGAGGTGTGACCGTTGGTGCTCGACATCACCTTGCGTGCCACGGCGGGGCGCGGCCGTTCGCTGACCGGGTGTGGTGTCGGCCGCGCCGCCAGCTCTGCGCTGGTGCGGCTGCAGGACTGGTGCCGTCACTGCCTGGTGCCGCCGCCGGCCCGGCCCCCCACTCTCTGCCTGGATGCCGAGGACATCGAGGCTGCTCTTGGTGAGGGCGCACCCGTTGGCCAGCGTTCGCTCCCTTGTAGAGCTTGGCTCCCTTTGAAATTTGGCCACCTGGGGTTTGTCTATCTACTACCGTTTTTAATCACCTCAGACAAAGGGGAGTTCGTGAGCCTATGGATCTGTGTTCACATGATGTCCATCAGGCGATATGGTCCTGCCATGTTCATGTGTCATTCGCCTTTTCAAATGGCATGTTTCACTGTAGTTAGACGATTGGTTGCGTGGCCAAGCCGGTGATGTTCCAGGCTTATGTACCTCGCGTCCTTTTGAGACAATGTGCTTGTTTGGACCGAATGACCGAAGTCGTAAAGACGGCATAACAGTTATCACCACCTGGTCCGTAACCAGTCGACGGCCAGTGGCTGGTTATCAAAGGCTGGCAGCGTCCCGTGCAGTTGCGCATCCCGTGTGACGGACGCCACGCGGGCGCGTGTGAGGTCGGCAGGCGATGAACCGCCTCTGATGACGGCACCAGAATCCCTGGCTCAGTCCTGTGCTCGGCTGATGCTCACCCCGCCCGTGCGATGCGATCTCTGTTAACAGCAGTCAGTGATCGACGTGACCGGGATCCCGGCTTTCTCGCTCAGTGACGTCATCATCCGCTGACCTGGCGTGTCACCGCGCCGGCAGCGTTCGTGCGGGCTCGTCAGGCGGAGAGCTCGGGCGCCCCCCAGATCCCCGACACGCGCTGGCTGGATGTCGGAGGGATGGTGGAGGTGAAGCAAGAGATCGTGGACCTCATCCAGCTGCCTCTCTCTCGGCCCGAGCTGTTCGCCGGCGGCGCCACCCGCTCAGGTTAGGCCATCTCCCGGCCTGCGTCAGCCGCCTCTCTCGGCCCCCCGCTCAGGCTAAGCCATCTCCTCGCCTGCGTCAGCTGCCTCTCTCTCGGCCCGAGCTGTTCGCCGGCGGCGCGACCCGCTCAGGTTAGGCCACCTCCCCTCCTGCGTCAGCTGCTTCTCTCTCGGCCCGAACTGTTCGCCGGCGGCGCGACCCGCTCAGGTTAGGCCATCTCCCCGCCTGCGTCAGCTGCCTCCCTCGGCCCGAGCTGTTCGCCGGCGGCGCCACCCGCGCAAGCCAGCTGCTCCCGCTCTCTTTCTGTCTGGCCGGAGCGATGCTGCACAGTCCGAGGCTACATAGCTCAGCCGCGGTCATCACTGCCGATTCGGCCGGACTGTGTGCGTTTGCCACAACTGCCCGGTAGGTTAGGTGCTCCCGCTCATTGTAGACCAGCGGCGGTGCCCACTGAAAGAGCAGCCGGCTGCCACGCGCCATAACGATTTATGAGGTCAGTGTCCTCTGTGTATTGGATTTATCCTATGGGTTGGATCACCCTCTGCGTAGCGTAACTACGTTCAATGCTCTGGGCCGCACCGCTAAGCTTTGACTAGCTCATTTGCTGATTCAGTCTTGGCTCACTAGTGCATATTGGTGCTTCTCTTTCACTATGCCTGTGCACCGATTTGCATGAGCGTCATTTGTATTAACTGCTGTGCTGGCGCCATCACAGTAACGAGCTGGGCAGCGCTAGTTCGAATGCGCGCATTAATGTCACACTGTTCAATCATCGTCAGCTTAGTTGTTGCTTGTAGTTGTCAGCAGCTTGTAGTTGTCAGCGTCAGCTTAGTGACCATCTATGGTCACTTGCAAATTAAGTGTGTCTTGTTAGCTAGAATAGGAGCGGATGCCAACACAGTAACGTGCGCGGGCGGAGGTGACGGGTACCAGAGCCAATGTCAGGCATGGAGGTGACAGATCCACCGCAGGCACGCTGCTGTACGGTCCGCCGGGGACGGGCGGAGGTGACGGGTACCAGAGCCAGTGTCAGGCATGGAGGTGACAGATAGACCCACTGCAGGTGTGCTGCTGTACGGCCCGCCGGGGACGGGCGGAGGTGACAGATAGACCCACTGCAGGTGTGCTGCTGTACGGCCCGCCGGGGACGGGCGGAGGTGACAGATAGACCCACTGCAGGTGTGCTGCTGTACGGCCCGCCGGGGACGGGCGGAGGTGACAGATAACCCACTGCAGGTGTTCTGTACGGCCCGCCGGGGACGGGCGGAGGTGACAGATAGACCCACTGCAGGTGTGCTGCTGTACGGCCCGCCGGGGACGGGCGGAGGTGACAGATAAACCCACTGCAGGTGTGCTTCTGTACGGCCCGCCGGGGACGGGCAAGACGCTGCTGGCCAAGGCGGTGGCCACCGAGTGTCAGTTGAACTTCCTCAGCGTCAAGGGGCCGGAGCTCATCAACATGTACGTCGGCCAGAGCGAGGCCAACGTCAGAGACGGTAAGAGAGAGAGAGAGAGAGAGAGAGAGAGAGAGAGAGAGAGAGAGAGAGAGAGAGAGAGAGAGAGAGGAGAGAGAGAGAGGATGGAGAGACGAGAGGAGAGAGAGAGGGAGAGAGGCGAGGGAGGAGCGAAGATGAGAGAGAGAGGAGAGGGAGGGAGAGGGAGAGGGAGAGGTCTTCCTGAGGGGAGAGGGAGAGGGAGAGGGAGAGGGAGAGGAGAGGAGAGGGAGAGGGGAGAGGGATGCGGAGAGGGAGAGGGAGAGGGAGAGGGAGGAGAGGGAGAGGGAGAGGGAGAGGGAGAGGGAGAGGGAGAGGGGAGAGGGAGAGGGAGGAGGAGAGGAGAGGGAGACGGGAGTAGGGAGAGGGAGAGGGAAGAGGGAGAGGGAGAGGAGAGGGAGAGGGAGAGGAAGAGGGAGAGGGAGAGGAGAGGAGAGGAGAGAGAGAGGAGAGGAGAGGGAGAGAGAGAGAGAGAGAGAGAGAAGGGGGACGGGACGGCTGGTACCGCGTGCTGGGCACACGGAGCCCCAGGACTCAGATGAGCGTCGCTGCAGCAACGCTCAGCCACACACACGCCCTCGGCTGCATTTTCATTTGCATGCGCAACATCACGCGCCACGCACGCGAAATGTACGTAAGCTGGGGTAATTGTTCGGACTCTCGTCCTTGCCCAGTGTGTTAGTATCCTCAGCTGTAGGTGCTCACACATCAGGTGGGAACAATAGTCTCAATGATGTTTTCATCCGCGATGCTACCACCTCGCCTTAATAATTTCCCGTAAAATGAGGCATGAAATATGTTTAAAACATGGCGGTAGGACTGGTAACGATTGAGGCCACCTTATGACGGGGCATTGGTTCGTCCATTATGGCGTGCGCTATGTTCATTACG